CAATGTGCACACTGCGAGTTGGCACTTCGGCGCGTGGGCGCTCATTGATAAGTGAACGCACGTTGGTAGAAAATGGAGCGTTCGGGACCATGCGTGACAGTTGTCTATTTAATGGATAGACTCGGTAGCAATCAAGCAGTTTCTTGTCCCATGTTGCAGTCCAGTTTAATGAGGTTGACACTATTTAGCGTGTTTTTTATACCTGAGTTGAGTATAGTACTGGTTTTGGAACTTTTATGCATTTGTGGTACTGGTTTTGAGATTTACTCTAACTTTAATGGTATGTTACCGGCTTACTCCATTACAAACAGGCAATGCGTAATTTGATCGTCCTTAAGTAAAAAATGAAAAGCATGCTACATGATAAGATGCATGCCATCGTTTGCAGGTACAATATGGTGTAGTTATTAACATCTGAATAGGCGCTCTGCACAGATTTCTTGGGCTGGATGCCCTCATCATCCTATTCGACCGCTACACATGTAACGGGGCGAACTTGTAACATAATCTTATTATCATAAAAATTGACAATAATGGAATGTTAAATTAAATGCTTCTCCTAAAATATCACAACGCAACGTGATATTCTAAAAGAAATTCAACCGTCTACTCTCTAGTTGATACATATAAAATGCTCTCATACACTAATTCGCTGCTTGACACGCGCGGTGCGGGCGAGTAGACGTCACAATACATGCTCGTATACATTAAGGTACATGTAATAGACCGAGGAAAATGTTTTGGGTTTAATTGTGCTCGATAAAGTTTACTTTCCGCTACTAAGTTACATTGTCTAGTAGTTATGCCTTCCTATGTATTGTGTACGTGAGGTGACAGGGCACTGACAACCTCTCTGTTAACAAGATTTTTCTACGTGCTCTGCTGCAAAAGAATAATGAGCACGATATTGACTGGAAGTTTGTGACACATTCTCTCACTTCAAAATATGCCATCTCTGCCCCTTTGCGTGACATTGTGGATGTAAGAGCTAGGTGCGCAGTAACACTTGGCTCTCAGAGGCAAACACGCCTTGCAAGATACATCAAGAGTGTTGTGAGCAAACGATGTACCTATAGACGACTTACGACGCCTCGTGATTATCAATTGAGTAGCACATTCAAATAAAAATGGGCATGTATAGCGCATTCTTTGCTTGGATTGTTCGATCAAAGATAAATTAATGGTAGAATCGCCTCGAAACTGCTATTCCAATACCAAGAATTGTCCGAATGTAGTGCAACCACCGCCCAATTTAGTTTAAGCTAACGTTAAAAGCATCGTGCGCGTGACACTGTCCTAAACACGCTGTTGGTTAGTGTACAGTCCATTTAGAACAATTATCTACACGTCATTCGTGATGTAGCACCATGGAAGCGTCGATCAGGCCCCTTAGCGCACACTAGCGTGTATGTTTGTTCATATCGCTTGGAAAAAGGGAAAATGTGCGTGTTGCAGTACTAGACTGCTCACTATACATAAGTTTGTAACGCACCAACACCTTCTCCCTTGAGCTTTGCTGAATACGTTATCACTGACGAAACATTAACTTTCACCTGTTTTGTTTGGACGCGTTTTAGTGCCTAAATATCGACAATTTTCATGATTTTGTACCGAAATGAGCGCGCGTTTGACCAATGTGAAGTCAAATTCGATGCAATTGTTCGGATCGAACGAATTCGCAATGTCCGTCAAAATTCGCATCTAGAATTTGTGTCAGATTTACAAATCACATTCCAACTGAAGAAATCGTAGATTTCTTTTTTTACGAACAGAACACCGCATTTTACTGAGGATGTTTCATTAGATGTGTGCGGAAGCACACCACGGGATAAGCTTCACCTGACAGTTGGTCGCCTGAAAAATAGCAGCATGTTCTCTCTCATCGGAATGTATTTCCAGTTACTCGCCGTATGAACTCCTAGCTTTAGTGTGCTGTATTGGCTTCGCACTCAGCAGAATCCTAATGATCCGTATTCTGCTGCGGTTTGTAATGTGTGCAATCAGGTCTGCTTGTTGATGTTTGCTGAGTCAAGATCGAATGGCAAGTTTTGTGTGTAAGTCAAGCCGTCAGGTAGAATCGTGACGATTGATGCACGCGAAGGTCGAGCGTCCACCTCTCACTCTCGACTACGAGAAGCAGTGAGATTGGGCTGGGACTCGGCGAGCTGGAGAGGACGAGGAGGACGAATAAAGTAGACGAAATATAATTCCCGTTCTACCACTATCCAATCTAACATCACTGAGCCGGCTTCGAGAAAGAGATGCAAAAGTATTTGGGTTTATGCTGAGCACCCAAACGCCAACAGCCTCATCCACTCGTCGAGTTACGCGCACTCCTCGCGTGCATGCGTAGCCCTTATAGTTGTCCTTGCTGCGTCTTCTAGAGCGCCTGATACATCGCACATCTTGTTCGCACTGAAGCAGGAGCCTGGACAATTGCGTGAACTTTATGCCAGATATGCCTGTACTCTGTGAGAACTCCGTCTTTTCGATATAGCTACGGCAGACCGACGTGTGGGTGAGTGGTATCAGATATAGTAGAATTAGAAATCCTAGCACGGGCTCAATCTAGAGACACGACAAAGCTATGTTTGCAGTGTGGTGTTGCGTCACAGTTCAGCCGCACGTCCAAGATGATAAGGCATCACTACGCGAAGATACCGGGTGCAATTGTGTGGAGGTAAACTGCTGTAGCCGCTAGAAGTGCTCTCAAGACGACTCGAGATGATGATATTTATTTTTCTCGCTTAGCAGCAGAGATACTCTCTAACTTTCTGCTCCTCATCGACCAATTTGTCTTCGTTCGTACTTTGTTGCGGTTGCTGTAGCTGTTCAGGCATGATGAGACATCGCGTTTCGTTTCTTCCGTGCTTCTCTGTTGAGCACACCAGCAACACCAACTAGTGGAGTTGCTTCGTCATACAACAACCTCGGCAACACATCCGCGAATACGTCCCACCATGCTGAATCCATCTGCCGTTCGTTGATTGTAAGCATCTACAGAGGTCACGTATACATTTTATCCTCAGTTTCGTGCTCGAGGCAGAACGGCTACCATGAAGATGGAAAGCTTTATAGGGTTCCTATCAATCTTGATCAATAAGATTGATGCAAAATAGTGCCTTCATTTTATGCCTTTTATGTCACATTGGCAAAGATGGTGCTCGCGTTCGCTAGCTTCCCCCCATCAACGTTTAACTTCCGGTAACCTCCTTGACCGGGCGTCCTTCGAGCTTGCTCTACGGCGGCTGATTGAGAAGCAATACGTTTCTGCTAGAAGGAGCGATGTGGCTTATTACTGCATTATCATCTCCAACGTGCTTTGTTTTATGGGTACGAGACACGCAATCGTTACAATCGACATGTGAATGGCTTGTCGACAAATATCCCTTCTTTGTGAAGGGGTTTCATGATCATCTTTTACATGGTTATCGTGTGCAAGATGCCTGAAATATCCTGAGCCAGGATATAAACGCCGGTCGCGGCAGCTGATCGTGGCTGACTCCCGCGTAAGGCGGGCGTCCACTTGGCTCTTGAATTAACAATCCAAGGCAAGCATGAAGCCGGGGCCCATGGATAGATAGCAGTGATGGCGGCCCGATGTTCGCGGATCAGCTAAAAGCCCTTCTTTGATCACAATGGTTAGGACAGAGTGGGTGCCGTAATCGCTGCGCATATCAAGATGAAGGCTGCGAAGGACTCTGTTTGCTGCACAATGACCCGCCCACGCTTCATCGAGCAGGAAAAAGACATGACGTAGGACACTGGCCTTTTTCAGCCCCTATGTTCTTTTTTGCAACAAGTGACGTGTTCCCGATCAGTCCGCTCTTGTTTCGGGCGTCCTCTAACACAAGATCCTTTCCGTCGTGTCGCTTTTTAATCGGATCTGGCGAGGCCTCCAAATCCTGTGTCGATGCCGTAAAGAAGCTTAAAGATTCACGCAGAAGTCTGATCGCGCAGCTGTGTGCGGTTATCCCCATCTTCATCTACAGCTCATTTGATCGTGTGGATAGCAGTAACACTAAGGTTCGTTTTCCACTCGGTCCACAGCGTTTTTTTGGCGTGGCGGAGTAGTACTGTTCCTTTCAATTGCTCCAATCTGCTGTTTGTTCCATTGATCTCGTGCCTGAAAACGACCTCGCAGCTTCTTGACTCGCGCCACCTCCGCGAGAGTCTCACATATTCATCTTCGAGTCACATCAAAGCGAAAGAGTTCTAGACGTGATCGAATCGATGCACGTTCTGTGGCAGCCAGCAGCTTTGCAGGTCCGTTGCGTCCAAAAGTGCCGCCTCTCGAATGCATCCTATCGCGCAACCGCATTGCATGGCTACATGCATAGAGCTTTCCGTCCGACCGCCCAGGACGAGAGAGCACTACACTGGCAAAGGGCTCACTTGCAAGTCGCCCCGAGAGTCTCTCGAATCCCGTCTCATCCCACCTGCTGGTGCGACTGCCGGCTGTCACGCTATCTGTCTGTCTGTCTGTCGTGTCCAGGGATACAGTAGATTGCAAGTCGCCCAGCGAGTCCTCTATTGTCTCGTTCAGTGCACCCTCTGTCCTGTCGTCCGCCACCCGCTCCGTATCGTCGAGACGAAGAACCCCACGTGCCCGACCCCACCTGCCCACACACTGTCAGTAGAAACGCGTCCGTCATCCGCTCGCCCCTTTCTCATGTGTTTTCCACCATCGTCACCGCTTCTCCGTCGTTGATTACGTCCCACGTGTCTTCTGCTTCTCCTCTCGTCCAGAGCTCTCCCACACAACAACAACAACAACGACAACAACAACGACAACAACAACAACAACAACATCAATCGCTCACCCATTCACCCACTCACTCTCTCTCACTCTCTCACTTAGCCACTCACTCACTCACTCTTTCTCCCACTCACTCACTCGCTCACTCACTTTATCTGTCTCTGACTCTCTCACCAACTCGCTGACTCTCTCGGTCTGACTCTCTCGGTCTGACTCTCGCTCGCTCGAGCAGCTCCTTCCAATGGCTTTGACGCCCATTGCCTCCGAGCACCAAGCGCGAGTCTGCGGCCGCGCACGCGCCAATGAGATCTTCCGCCCCGTGCGCTGGAGACGCATTGCCGCTGCGTCCAGCGATGACGCGGCCGCAAAGCTCTACGAACACGCGCACGCGCCAAAGAGCGATCCCCGAACCGGTCGCTGCTCGTACTCTGTGCGGGCGGTCGACGTGTTGTGCGCGTCAATGGCCGAAGTTGAGGCCGTGCTCACTGGCGGCGCAGTTGCTCGACGCCGGCGGTCGAAAGCAGTGGCGGACGAGCCCGAGCTGCCGCATGTGTTGACGCGGCTGCTGCCCCACACGTTTGTGGCGCACGGAGCCGTTGTGCAGTACCCGAGTTTCGAGCACGCGAGCAGTGAGCGGGAGACAGTGGGGCTGCGGTTCGCTCGACGGCGGCCCTTTCGCGTGCAGAAGGAGGAGAAGAAGGAGAAGGAGAGGCACGAGATTAGTGGTGGCAAGGACGATGACGAGGAAGAGGACGAGAGGGACTTATTGAAGAAGAAGAAGAAGAAGAACAAGAAGAAGCAGTTGGGGATCATGCTAAAGAAGAAGAAGAAGACGAAGGAGAAGGAGAAGAGAGAGGTGGGGAAGAAGAAAGATATGGGGAAGGAGAGTGATGGGGTTGCGCGCGAGTCGCTGGAGAATCACGTGCTGCTGGAGTATACGCTGTCGACAAAGCTGCAGCGGTCGTCGACTCGGGACAAGAAAGCGCCGATGTCGTCGGAGGGGTCGAAACCGGATGACGGACAGGTGTCAGTGCCGTCGCTGCTACATTTGTATCGATCAGTGAGTGCCCCGACGTTTGGGGAGAAACGGCCCGAGTTCCGACCAGAGCGCCTGGCGCACGACCAAGTGAGTATCACGTATATTATCCAGGACCTGACCTGGTGTTCGAAGGAGTGTGTTGGGGAGAAGGAGGGGCCGCGTGCTCACGACGGTGAGCAGACCGTGACGCTGGAAGTTGTGCTGACGTGCACGATGGAAACGCAGTCAGGACAGGACGAGGAAACAAGTGAGTGCGTGGCGACGGACGAGCAGAAGCAGCGGCTTCGACACGAGGCACTTTGTTTGACCCGATTGCAGCCGTTGATTGAGGAGTATCGACACGAGGAAAGTCGTCGTAGACGAACCACTTCGTCTCCGTCGCAGTCGCCCGAGGTGCATGTAAAGAAGAAAACGAGTGACCCGAATTTGCTGCGCGGACGCATGTTTGCTCGAGGACGAACGTGTGGCGTCTGTCAGCGAAAGTTCAAGCCGTTTGCCTGGAAACGACACTGCGAGACGTGTGAAAAGCTCGTGTGTAACCAGTGCTTGTCGGTTGCCACTGCGTCGCCGTCGCTTTCGCGGCGCAAGATACGTGTGTGCTCGCAGTGTCTGTCTGGAAACAAGGACAGTGGTGGTGCATTGGCTAGAGTCAAAGCAGAGGTATTACAGGATGACGAAACGAGCTTGGTCAGCTGCGATGAATTCGCCTCACCGCTCGTGTTGTCTGAAAGCTCCACCGTCAACGTTTCGCTGTGTCCAAGTTTGGAGTCGGATACTGCAATGCTGAGTCAAGTAGCTACTCCTGGAACGCCATCGAGGTTCCTAGGTCGCATTCGAATCGATCTGGACTTGGACCCTTCGCTTGTTGCAGCCTCGATGAACACTGTTGACCGAAGACGCGGCCGGTCACCGCAGTCGCAAAGCTCGCAGGAAGTCGTCGTCTGTCCAGCCTCGGATGCCAGTGACAGCCTTGTTGTTGCACGCCGCAACAACCGACGGGTGATACTGTTTAGTCATCCTGATCCGGACGAGGACAAGTCTGCTTCTGCCAAGTCCAGGTGTTTCCGCCGCACAAAGATTGTATTGCTCGACGATGCGCAGACCAATCTTGCGGCTTGCAGACCCCTGGATAGTATCACCCCTGTCTTATCTTCAGCAGCGTTGCAGTCGTTGTACTCCACGACTGGAGAGAGCGAAGATTACGAAAGGACACGGCAGAAGTACGTCGGCTCCAGCACAGATTCACTCACGATGGTCCAGTTTGTCCAGCTCAAGACACCTGAGCCAGACTACGAGCTGGATTTCAGCTGGTACAACATATTCCCCAAGGCACCTGTCCAGCAGACAGCTGACGAGCTGGCTCGTGTGAAATACCTCGAAGCGACAGGTCTGAAGCTGGATGCTTTTTCGCATGTGTTCCTACGGTATGACAAAGAGCTCGAAGCGCTGGTTCACCGTGTGCTGAAGGTAGCCTCTCAGTGGCATGCTTGCAGTGTTAACATTGTCGGGAGTTATGACGTTCACTGTCTTGTGACGGCATACAACACGTCCGAGCAAGTCCTTGATGGTGATCGATCGGAGCCAGTGGCTTATCCGATGACGGTTGACGGCGTTGTCCATCGGGAAGAAAGTGTGAGCGCGTATGCGGTGCACCATCGGTCACCCTTCTTTGTCGGCGAGCTGAAGCACGATATTCGCTTCCAGGCGCACCCGCTTCACACTGAGCAAGGGGCTGTTTCCATGCTAAGCTTTCCGATTTACTCAGCAGGTGTCGGTCTTGGTGAGTCCCAGACACAAGGCGATGCTTACTGCATTGCCACATTGGACTTGTGGAAATGCGGCCACGTGCCGGCTAGCAGCCACGTTTCTCCTGACTGGATGTCTACGATGAAGAATCTGCTGGACGAGATCAGTGCTCGTCTGGAGACTCTGGCTCTGGAGTCGCACGCATTCGCAATGCCTCGTGCTCGCGCCTATCATTCGCTCGGATCACTGTGCGATGCGAAACGCAGCACTCGACGATCCAAATCGGTCATTGGTCTACACGACATGGACAGCGAGTTCGCAGTCGACGCGTCTCGGTTTCCGGAAGCTGAGACAACCGATCAATTGACAACACTGTCATACGATAAAGTGCGTGGCTCCGGTCTCGGCGGCATGACCAGTTCCTGGTCGTCGACGTGGAGGTACGATAGCGACAACGAGAGTACGACGTCAAGTCAAAGTGCCAGCAGTTCCTGCAGCCAGAGCTCGCGCTTCTCGTCCTACTACTACTCAGTTGCAGATATGCACTCGACAATTGAGTCGCTGCTGCAGCAAGCTTCGAAGACGTCCAAGTACATCAGCGAGACAGGCGTATCCATCTAGAGCTTACGTGCTCTGTGGCTCGACAAGAGGATGACCGTGCACTTGCTCATGCATGGCAAGCATTGATGCGTGCTGAGATGGAGGAGCATCGAGAGAGTGTGCTAAACAAGGTATCCGATACTGCAAGTACAGCAATAGAATAAAGCTGGTTGAACACGGTAAGCACTACCCGTCACGAATTTGATGTGGTGGTGTACGTGTTGAGAGTAACGAGTCTTGCGATTCGCATAGCATGTAAATGGCATTGTTAGGTTTGTTCGTGCCCACGCGACATTGACATTCATCTTCTGCTTTGACAAAAACGCGATGGACGCATTGTTGTCACTGATGCTCATGTGACTCGTGGCCGTTGCAAAACCGCACGTTTGCCTTTGCTTGCAGTTGGTTTGTTGTTTGTTTGCTCGCTCGCTCGCTCATCCGATCGGAGCAAAGCTGTGGGGTGTCACGTGAGTCATCCGTTTCTTGCAAGAATGGCGATACCATGGCGAACGCAGCTGCTTGTCGCCATATCCAAGAACAGAAAGCGCTGTGCCAATTAGTTGCTCATGCATCGACGCAACGTGCGGCATGAGATGTATTCAGAGGTTTGAGTGGTCATACGGGTCATAAGGTGTTTAGCAGCTGCGTTCTTGATCACCTCTTCGTCACGGACGTACGTTGTGCGCCTTTGACACGGCGTTCACTGAATTGGACAACGAGTGTGCCGTTGTTTTGACAACAGAGCGCCGATCGAACACGTCTAACGGTTGTGAAGCTTAGCGCACGTGGCGCTTTCGTACACAATCGCAGCAGTCGGCCGTTCACACCGATTGCTTCAACTATTTTACAACGATACTCGTTAGAGAGCACCTGCGTCGTCGGCCGTCTTCTGTTCGTGTCTCGAGTGAGAGAACGAGTGTTTACCACACCTCTCGTCGTTCTGCGTCACGTGCCGTCTGGTCATTCCTCTCGGCCTCGAAATCGGCCGTCCAAGTGCGTGCTGCTCATGTATCGCACCAGGTGGCAATCCAGTGATCGACCTCTACGTCCACCCGAAACAGCAGCCAGACGTTAGTCTCCGGTCTCGCCGTTTCGACGACTGGACCGGCACTAGTGCACAGCGTATCTCTCTTCTCCAGTGACAAGCACCAAAGCCTCCGAAAGACGTCGTCTTCAGCGTTACGACATTGTTCGTCTCGGCAGTACCCAAACGGTCTCCTCCCTCACCACTCGCGATCTCCGTCGTCAAATAAACTGTCGACAGAGCCACAGCATCTTGCAGTATCCGTATCTTCCAAGCAGCAAACAACGATTGCAGCGCTGCTCCTCCTCGTCCTCAACAACGCGTCTAGTGCGAGGCAAAGCTCCGCACGACCGTTTTGCCGTACGACCGCGTGCGACTCATCTCGTCGCCATTGGCCACGGCGTCGACGACCGAGAGCTCGCCGCGCAAGTCCGTCTCCATCTTCGTCTTGAGCTCTTTGCCCGCACAGCCCTTGCCCAGGAGGTAGCCGAGCTTCGCTACACAGGCCTCAATCGTCATGTCGAGCGACGTGATCACACCCATCTGGAGCAGCGTCACGCCCGTTGCGTACGCGTCGAGCTGCGTCCGGCCTTGCACGCACTGGGACGTGATCGTCACGGGAATGGCCGACGCGATCGCGAGCTCGACGAGCCGCAAGAAGCCGTTTCGGCTCAAGGGCGCGTTGCCCGTCCCGTAGAGCGCAAACACGAGCGCGGTGGGCGCCACGACGTCGCCCGCGCGCTTGCGGGAAGTGTAGCGGTCGACGTACGCCTCAATGCACGTGAGGTCAAAGCCGGGCACCAAGTGGAAGACGCAGACGTCGGTCACGAGCGTCGTGAATGCCCGAAAGCGCGCGCGCGGGTACGGCCGAATCAGCGGCTGGTCGACAATGGCCTCGACGCCCGTGACCGCGAGCGCGGGGAAGTTGGGCGCGTGGAAGGCGTCGACCGACTGGTTGGCCACTTTGGTCGTGCGGTTGCCCCGCAGCAGCTTATTGTTCGAGTAGATGCACACTTCGGGGATCGCGAGCGACGCGGCGCACATGACCGACATGATGAGGTTCCGCCGCGCGTCGCTGTGGGGAAAGTGCAGCGGAATCATTGCGCCCGCGAGCACAACGGGTTTGCCGAGGCCCTCGAGCATGAACGACAGCGCTGAGGCCGTGTACGCCATCGTGTCGGTGCCCTGGAGCACGACAAAGCCGTCGTAGTCCCAGTACGCGGCTTCGATCTCGCGCGCGATGCGGCCCCAGTCGCTCGGACACATGTCGGCCGAGTCGATGGGCGCAGCCCACTCGCTCACCGTCACGCGCGGCATGTTGTCGCACTGGAACTCGTCCATGTCGCGGAGCTTCTTGGCCAAGAAGCCTTTGCTCGGGTGCAACACGCCGTGCGCGTCGGGCACCATTCCGAACGTGCCGCCCGTGTAGATCACGAGGCAGTGGGGCGCAGTGGCTGCTCGGGCGTCTCTGGCGGCCACTGGGGCCGCGAGGACCGATCGAGGAGAGACGCGCGAGTGCTGCTCGCCAAAGGGGACGACCACGGGGTGGAGGTCGTCGTCGTTGGCGGCGGTATTGAACGAGTGGCGGGAGGTAGTGGGGCTGTCGGTGATGGGGCTGTCGGTGTTGTCGGTGTTGTCGGTGGGGCTATGTCGGGTGAGACTGGACGAAGGCGGCGACGTGGCCATGTTGGACGCGAGTGGGGCAATGGCGACACGCGAAGACGTGGAACGGAGACGAACGGATGGACGGGAGCGTTCGAAGAGGGTGAGGAGACGCTCGCGGTGGATGGATGAAAGGCAGAGGAGATGAGGAGCGGATCAACAGGTGGAGCGGCCGTCGGTACATGCGGTTGCAGTTGAGCTTCAACGTGCACGTGGAACGTCCGCTCGGCCAACGAACTGCATATGTGACTGACTGATGATGGGCTGCACGAGGACGAGCGCTCTGCTCTTGCCCGACAGACGCTTTGCCTCTGTCGTATGCCCTCCGTCCTGTGGTTCCTCTCCAGGACATTGCCACATATCACGCTTTTCGTCAACCCCTGAGGCCTGTTTCGGATCCAGAGGACGAGATGGAATGAGCACTTTTGCTTCGTTCTCGACAAAGCCAGACTGGCGTTGTTGAAGCTGCCACCGTTTCTCCTGCGCTCACGTCCCCACTGACAGACGCACGCTGAGCTCATGAGTCATGAGGTAATGGCAGACAAGTCACGTAGCGAGGGCATCATCGATTGCCACTGGCTTGATCCGTCCGTCGACTATTTGTCCAAGAAGACAGAGGTAGTCACTTGACGTGTTACTGCTGGTGGGCCTCGGAGAATGAGCGGTCGAGCGACTTTTGCGCTATTGAGAACGATCACATTCGCGTCGCCACAAAGTTTGTCTGTGATGTACGATTCAAGCGCCATGTGATCGTCAACGCGGTCGTCAACGCGATCGTCAAGACACGACCACTTTGGTTTAGCTCCTTTCCGCATAAACTCGTGGGACCGGTCGACACTACTGACGTCTACACACTTCGTCACAATTATCTTGTTTGCAGCTTTTCCATCCTTATATCGCCCTTGTTGCTAGCCAGCTACGTGGGCATCTTACCACCGTCACCCGACCTCATCAGCCTCGTCCACACCACACCCGTTATACGCTGAGTCTTGCCGTCGGATGGCATCGACTAGATCAATCAAGATAGGAATGGAGGTCAAGTACGCATTACCGAATTGTCATGCACGAACGTATTGCGCCGAGATATGTATGTGCAGAATTGTTCCTACTGACAACGCAACCGCCTGTGGATCTTCAAGCTGATACAGCCAAGTTAGTCGTCTGTGCCTTTTGACAAGAGCTGGTCAGCCAAACGAGCTGATCCTGTACCACAGAACGAGCATCGGACACTGAAGACATCGATGCACGGCAGGCAGTGCCTGTATCATGGCTCCATAACATCGAAACATATCGTCATTCCGACTCCCGTTAGCATCGGTCACGTCCTGGTGTTCCGTATCCAGCCTGGCTAGTCTTAGATTTGAACCTGTTGCACGTTCAGCACATTGCATCGAATCGAGGTACTGGACGAGCATCACGTTCTCATCTTTCGGTCTGGATAAGCCATGTAGTGGGCACTATATGGCTACTACAGTGCACTGATTCGACAAACGTGATCTGCTTTGGACCAGCCATAGCAGCGTGTCAAAGGACTGGAAGAAGCAGTGCGTAGTGATGGGAGGAAGGAGCTGACGGAGGAACGTGGGTGGAAGTTGATATCGTGCAAATGCCGGATTCAGAGCTTGACGATAGAAGCAAGCTCTTTTCGACAGGACGATGATGATGACGACGTTGTGCCGAAGCGGCGCTCAGGTATGTCCACAGACGGCCGCAGTACCGTCGACATCTCCAAGTTGTCATGACTTGCTGATGAAAGGATGCGATTTCGGCGGTCTGTGCGATTTGATGCTTTTGGCCAACTACTTTGTCAATGATAACGAGGAGCTCTGCAAAAAGCCACATGGTCGAGCTCTGTCTTGTAGCTTACCAACAATGCTAAATATGATGGAGTCAGCTTCGTAAATTATGCACAATGAATGTGGAGATTGGTCGATCGAGGAAACTTTCAACGCAAAGCCTGTATTCGATTCGCTCTCGTCGCAAAGAGTGCCGCCTTCCGTTTCGCGCATCTGATACACTGACCGAGTGAAGTCAGACTAATACGCACAAGAAACAAAGTAAGAGTTAAGGCTTTGTCGAGCACTCGAAGCTGCTTGCTGGTGGAGTAACGCAATTGACGAAAGTAGGCCATCGATACTTGTGTGTACTGCGCTTCAACGAGAATGAGGTAAGTTGCATTGCCACTCGATGAAGCGTGTTCTGCGCAGCTGGCGGAAGCGCCCGCGCAAAACAAAGCAATATGTGACAATTATACACGAGCCCAATCTTGCGACAGAGCGTCTCTTTGCACAAGATCGGTTGCTAGAATCATGTAGCTGTGCATCGACGAGGAACGATTTATACTTCTTTTCAGGGCATGATACGTATCCGCCACATCAACAGTCGAGTGCATTCGGACTGCCGCATCACAGCCAGTTTGATCGCCTCAGGAGCTGGCGGAATCCTCAGCCTGCACCCCACTCCAGTCTTTCAGCTACATCGCTCTTGTCTCTCGCCCACCTCTTCGTCCAGACGTTGTGCAGTCTCAATTTGAGTACTCGATCGCGATCGTGGCGGACACATCGACGATGGTTGTCACTTTGCTTGACGCAGCAATCTGAGAACCATTTTCATGAGACAAACGAGCGCCGGACATCACTCGACACAGCTGAGCGAGTACAACAGTTCAAATCGATCCACCACAAACAAATCATCGGATCAAAAACAGTCGCATCGGTGACTGTTGCAAGAATGATTACACCGGGCGCACCCGTCACGAACGATCAAATCGATTACAGGCAGTAAAACCCCACAGTCGCTTCACCACCTTTGCGACGGCGACCACTTTATCCAAACCGTTACGACCGTTTGGCACCTCTATCGTGTCGGCCGCACACCCATCCTCCCTCCTCTATCACTATAAAAAACTGCTTTTTTCATCCTCGACCCGAGCGCTCCAGTCATTCTTTCCAGCTCCATCACGTCCAGCGAAATTCCAGACCAGAGCCACTCGCGACATGTTGACGTCCACGCGACGACTGTGTGCCGCCCCACCACGTGCGACGCGCTCGTTCCTCAGCAATCGCCACGTCGGCGTCTCCCTCGTGGACAACGCACTGGCACCCGACGCGCCGTCGGACCCCTCGACACTGTCGTCTTGGGATACGAACACCACTGCCAGTGAGCACATCCACCGGCCCGTGACGTACCCCCTCCACAAGATTAAAGTCGTACTGCTGGAGAACATCCACCCGCGCGCAAAGGACGTGTTTGAACGCGAGGGGTACCACGTCGAGACGTACAAACCCGCGCTATCGGGCCAGGAGTTGGCCCGCATTGGGGGCGACGCGCACGTTTTAGGCATCCGGTCCAAGACGCAGCTCGATGCCGAGTTCTTCCGGACCATTGGCTGGCACGCGCACCGGTTGTGGGCGGTCGGGTGCTTTTGCATTGGCACGAATCAAGTCGCGCTCGCGGACGCAGCGGCCACGGGCATTCCCGTGTTCAACGCCCCGTTTTCCAACACGCGGTCGGTCGCCGAGAAGACGCTGAGTGAGATCATTGCACTGCACCGGAAGCTCTTTCTGCGCTCGACCGAGCTGCACCAGGGGATCTGGACCAAGTCTGCCACCGGCGCACACGAAGTGCGGGGCACGACGCTGGGCATTGTTGGCTACGGACGCATTGGCTCGCAAGTCTCGGTGCTCGCGGAGCTTTTGGGGATGAAGGTGGTGTTCTATGACCCGATCAAGTGTCTCCCGCTTGGCAACGCCCAGCAGGTGAACTCGCTGCAGGAGCTGCTGAGTATGTCGGATGCCGTGACTCTCCACGTGCCAGCGACGGCAGCTACGAAAGAGATGATCAACCGGGAGACGATTGCCCAGATGAAGCATGGAGCACTGCTGGTGAACAATGCTCGAGGTAGCGTCATTGACATTGACGCAGCCAAGGAGGCGGTCGAGAGCGGCCAGATTGCTGGCATGGCAGTCGACGTGTTCCCCAAGGAACCGGCAAAGAACGGAGAGCCGTTCGATACGCCCTTGCGTGGGTTGCCAAACGTGATCCTCACGCCACACATTGGAGGCAGCACAGAGGAGGCCCAGGGCAACATCGCCGTCGAAGTAGCTTCCAAGCTGGTGCGGTACATCAATGAAGGCTCGACGACAACATCGACCAACACGCCGGAGATCGACATGCTTCCGATTCGCAACAACTCGATGCGGATCTTGCACATGCACCAGAACGTGCCCGGTGTGCTGAGCAAGATCCACGCGGTGCTTTCCGACTACGGCATCAACGTGACGTCGCAGTACTTGCAGTCAGACCCTCGCCACGGCTACATTGCACTGGAAGTGGAAAAGTTCCATGCTAAGGTGGTAAAGCGCGAGCTTGAAAAGATCAAGGAGACGATTTTCCTGCGGACGATTATCTAAGTAAATCTCCAAGATCGTTGAGAAGAAGAAGAAGAAGAAGAAGAAGAAGAAGAAGAAGAAGAAGAAGAGAGCGGTGCATGAGAAACAGAGATGTGTTGTTGCGAGAGGGTGGACGTGTGAACAAGAGCCGCAAGCCGAGAACAACTGGACATCGATTTGGTTGACGATCGTCGCGAGTGGCTAAAGAACGTGACTTTGGGCGTGGCGACAAGAGCGAAGAGAAGGACATGCTTTCGATGCTCATGACACCTTCAGACGGTAGACGTAGGTCACTATAGAGACATAATTATCGACCTCTTCATACAGAAGCCGCCCGCAGTCTTGTGTGACCACCCGCATCTTCTACAAAGTTATACAACGCAGCATCGTACCGCGAACGACGTCCTTGCAGTCGATACTCCAACCCCTGTCAGTCGGTCGATCATTGGCATAAGTCCTTCCGTTATGCGCTAGTACAGCACACTCGCCCCGGCGTTCAGATAGCCAATACACACACACACGGAACAGAAGAAGTGGGTCGAATGATGAGTGCTGGGTCTCCACTTTGCTTCATTACAAAACCGAAAAAGTGTCGACCCGAAAGTCAAAGCCTCTCTTTCCCACGGCATTCATCACATCGACCACCAGTCGGTTGGTTTCTCTCGTCAAACACACGCGGTTCTCTCCCTGTCACACAGTTCCTAGTATCGGGCCTCTACGCCGTGGCGTCATCACGAATTTTGCGAAGACGAGCCAGAGTCGAGCGCACTGTCGCGGCCGACGCCGTGTTCAGCAAGTACGCGCCGCCGGCAATGGTCTTGTAGCACGAGCGGCACTTCCAAATGCCCGTCACCGTGCGCTTGATCGAATCCTTGCCACAAAACACGCAAAGGTACTTGGCGTGCTGAGAAATTTCAATCTTCTTCACGACTTTACGGAGCGAAGAGCCGTAGCGGGTGCCGTACTTGCCACAGATGCCAACTTTTTTCGTGCGCTTGCCCTACACATTCACAACATGACACGGCGGAGTCAGATACCAAGAAACAGCCCCTCTGAGGATATATATGGTCATTGTATTGCAGCAGTGGTCCGTTCACTCGAGTAGGGATGTGCCTGTAGCTTCCTACTTCTTCTATGATATTCGACGATGTACCAGGTGTCCATCTCCATCGGTATACACAATAGTCTCTCTGTTTAACACTGTATAAACAGCCGGTCGAGCTGCATTACAGGGCGCAACTGACACGGCTGGAAAGAGAAACGAAAGGAGAAGCGCATGCACGCAACTGCGCTGTCCAACGCCATCTATACGCAACCGAAGAGACCGTACCATTGTTAGCTCTGGAGATTTTTAGGAGAGAAATCGACTTTGAAAAGTGAACGCGGTGTCGAAACAGCAGCACGACTTCGATTGAATGGCGGAGCGGAGTGCCAGACTTTCAGCCAATCGTTGGGCATCCAGTTTTAGCCAGTCAAAACACGGGCGAACTCCCCAAGCGCAATTTTTTTTTACAACCGAATCGTGCGACGAAATATATGAGGATTTGAAATATTGCAATAGCACCCCGCATGCGAGGAAAAAGTAGGGCTAGACCGAGTGTACACGTAAATTAGTACTCGAGACTACGTGAGCTTTTGCACGAGGGCGGACAGACAGCCTCTGTTGTGTTGAATATCCATGGTGCGTGCTTTCGTCTGTACAATGCTTGCTTGACCTGTATGCCCATCTCTGTGTACGTCTTTGATTCCCAGATATTTCGCGTACGATTCTGTTTCGGTAATTTTCTCACGCGGGGCGCCAAAATAGTAACATTGACAAACTTTACTACAAGGTGATTACTATTCGAACTGTGCGCAGTCCAAAGTGCAGTAGAACCCCTCTTAGTTATTACAGAAGGGGGGATGATAAAACATTAGGTAGTAGAAGATATTAAGTAGGAGATGTTGATTATATCACAGGTTCGATCTTACGTACCGACGTCGTGCCAAAAACCTTTTATTATCTATAAGGGGAATCAGCTAATAAGCGGATTAGCTAAGAGGCATTCGACGATACTTTCGAGACTTTGGGCTCGAGGGAAAATGGTACACCGACCGTTGCCTGCAACACATTCAGCTTGTGCAAGCGGAATCGCACGCCGTCAAACATAGTAAGTCAATTGGTCTCAACTCGGCTCGCTTCCGTAGACTGTTCACGTCCAGCGCGTACGTACGATTGTCAATTGCACGGCTGGGATCGAATCGACGCCGCACAAGCAGACCGCTGGAGGACTTGTGGCCGGTTATCCGGAGCTCTTCTGGCTTGTGAGGGCAAGCTTTGGGGCATTGAGCTGGTCTACCATAGGTTGGATCTCCCTTTGCTTCTTGCCCGAGCGTGCGCGTTCGTACGGCACTTCGATAGTCGCAATGCATACCCGTCCAGCGAGTCTAGAATAGTAAATGGCGTCTGAACCTTTATGGTGGTAGCTCGGCGTGGCCACGACGCCAACGATATCAACCTGGAGCTGAGGATCTGGACGTTTGTGATGTCGTCGGCACAAGCGGTCAGTCATTCTAGCCTTGCAATAGTGCGCTTTGCCACGCTAGCAAAGGAGAAAACGGAAAGTTTGGGCTGCAACAGCCAAATGTAAACTCGGAACGAGCGGTTGCGACGGGTGTAGAACTTGTCGTGGTCTTCGCCTATTGTATCGAGGCAGCATGACTAACAAGGACCAGAGCATCTGTGTTGGAATCGGCGGCATCTTTGCGTGCATCTCCCGCGAAATTAGAACAAAGAAAGGAAGCCAAGCGCTGGTATCGACAACGTGCGTGCACCTCCTACGAGTCCACTTGAGATCCAGTAGAGAAGCTAGTTGTGCATGTCTGAAAAGGTTTCCGACTCGAGCGGAAAAAATTTCGTCAAAGGTGCTGTTGTGTAGATGGAACGGGCTGCAAGAAAAATTGAGGAGTTGTGGAACTCGTTCGTTCTGCAACTTTTGCACTTAGCCAGCTGTGCAATTGAGAATCTCAAGCGAGTTCTGCTATCAACATCGTACCGGAACATCTCTATTCACACAAACCAGAGATGAGAAGCGACTGCGATGCTTGAAGTCGTTTGTACACCTCTAGTGAATAGATGTATTTCACATGCTCGTACGCCGAGCTCAAAAGCATCACACATGAGCTGTATGGTTTGTACAAGCACACGTAGAAGATGCACTCGATCGAACGGTCCGGCAAGCAAGTTGAAGGAGAAACCCGTCCACTACGATTTTATGGCTCGCTGGTGACTGCAGTGACACTTTCACACAATGTAAGTAGGTGCACAGACCTGGAAAGGACAAAGCTACTTGTAATAAGCGTATCATCCCCACGGGTAAGTCTACCTCGACGGCAAAGAAGGATTGGCACTAGTATTTGTGTGCAGCGGTAACGACCGTGTGCTTTTTCTACCTTGACGAAAGGCATCCTGTTCACATAAGAGCACGCACACAAATCCAGTCGGCCACCATTTAGAACTTCACTCACGTTATTACATAGCTAGTCAAGAAATAAACCGTCGCCCTCGCATATTCTGATCAGGTGCAGTTACCAAGTTGCTGACGTTTACGACTCCGTGTGTCTAGTTTCCACGCAGACTACATGCGCAACTGGTCCGTGGACGTATCAACGTAATGAGATGCAGCAGGGCTTCCTACATCAAGCACGGTATTAGTTACCCTGCCAAAAAGCAGTAGCCTAAGCGGGTATGTGAATGAACGCACAATATGCTGCTACTCTGCTTCAAACGTTGCCAGCTCCTGGCTCATCATTTGCAAGTAGTCCACGGGTCTCAACGCAGTCGCAAGTTACCGGTATTAGCTGGCTCGTAAGTTACCCTGGATTCTTGCCATTTGCTTGGCGTGAACATCATGATTCTTGATACGAAACTTGGCGAAGTCCTTCTCCATCAGGCCCGCATAGTATGATCCTTTGCTGCCGAGCTTCTGGAAGCAATATGCCGAAAGCTGGTTCGGATCATAAGTTCTATAATGCATCCACCTACTAAGTACTTCGTGCTGAAGTGCCTGGACAGGGAGACCCATATCCGCTGCTTGAAAAACCATGAGCGCGACGCCGCTGTCATCTTTGGCCCTTTTCAATAGGTAGCCGACCGGATCGACCTCCTTACTCGGGTACTTTTTATTATACAAACCGATGAAGATGTTCATCGTATCTGCGAGGGTGTATTCCAAGACCCTGTCTTTCGGGCTAGCGTCAGAAGCGGTCATCATCTTGTTGTAAACGACGTCTAAGTCATTCCCCTCATCCAGCCAGCCTTGCAGCAGCTGCGTTTGGGCTATACTTGCGACAGTCGGTTTAGCCTCTTTCCCCTTAGCAGCTGACAACATACGAGCAACAACAGCTTCGTCACGGAAGCCTTCCACCAGCGTCCGCAACAGCAAGTACCCCGATGTCGCGCCCGTCTTTTTCTTGGACTTTATGAGGAATCGCTGCAGCGCAACAAGGTCTGACTCGCTAAGAATTTTGAACCCGTCCTTATTCTCCAGCAGACGACCGAGCACCGCATCAGCATCTAGTCCTTCATTCAGCCATTCTTCCACGTCTGCCTCCCTTTGCTTGGCCTGCTGCGTCTGCTTCTTCTTCCTGGATACCTCCTTCAGTTCCCGGTTGTCCTCTGCAGCTTTGATGGCGGCTTTGTGTGCTTCCTTTTGTGCTTTCGGACCCTTCTTTGGTTTCGAGCCTTTCCGATTCGCGCGACCTCCATTCATCACAGGCTTCGAGAGTGACTTAGAGACGCGGCCATTTAATAAATCGATGACCTGCTCGATAAGACGATCCATGTCTGAAGGCATCTGAGATAAATTCAAAGTTTTGGGGATCTGCATTTCAATCCTCTTCACAGCATCAACAACATGCAGGTCCGTTGCCAGAGGGAGCAACGTCGTCCTTGATTCGTCATCCGCGGTGTCGTCCGTCCTCAACAGCCGCTTGACAGGATCGGCGCTGTCGGTCTCAGCTTCGGACCGATCTCTCGTCGAGCGTTTTACATCCGGTATCCCGGAACTGGAGTTGCACGTCAACACCGCTGCAGAAATCAGAAGAATGGAAGACGAGAGGCGCATCTTGAGGCAGAAAGAAAGATAGTGAGGGAGTCGTGATAGTATCGGAAGAAAGTGTCGGAAGGGAGTGACAGCGATCGAGCGAATTTTTCGAACTGATCGTGCGCTGGACTTTGGCAGTAGAGGCGTTTGATTAATGCGGGCTACAAGTCCAGAGAGCGGGAGGTCTGCACGCAGCGAAGAAGATGTTGCGCCGGTTACGGAAACTTGTGGCTTCCACGTGTGGCTCCCAGGCGTGTCGAGATTCCCACGTTTCCGGTCGTCCTCCAGACCAGTGGGTTACTACTCGTCGCATGTGGCGATAGAACTGGCGCCTGCGACGGAAAAGACACGACACTGTTCTTTTTAGTTCACTTGCAGAACCACTTTACTTCAGTAGAACCTGCGATGACTGTCACGGCTTGAGCTATACCCCATGATTACTGCACAACGAGATCTGGTCCTGCCTGACCACGGGCCATCGTGGAGCGAAATGGACCTCTAGTACCGACTATCGGGTACATTTCACTGGGTTTAGCAGGTTTTGCGCACCACCACATCCATTGAAACGTGCTGCGACAAACTGATGTAAGACACACTCTCCACCGTCTGCCGTACACCATCTACCGAGCTCTGCAAACCCTTATTTCTACACCGATGACCGTAATGAGTGTAGGTTCAGAATTAGTGTGGGTTCAGAATTAGTGCGGCCCACAATAATATATGTACCGAGAGAGTTGCGAATTGGGAGACTGAGAAATAGTGCAAACTCCGCACGGACTTTACAAAATTAGAAATTAATATACTGTACAGTAAAAGGACGTCATTCTCATTCTAATTTTGACCGTGTAAGTGCTTTGATGGTGGTCTTAAGCAGTGTCGAGGCGTTGACCTCTCCATCACCGATTATCGCTGCTTTTTCACGTACTGCCGGCGCTAATGCCCCAGCAGGCGATATCGATGACGAGTAACTGGATGACAACAAAGACGTTGGATAGAGAGAAGAAAAGATTATAGATGAGAATCACGATCACGATGATCAACACGTCAACAAGCGCAAGCATAAGCTTCAACAGGTTGTATCGATAACGTCGCGGTTTACTGTGATTAATTGGATGATAACTGATGCAGACCAGCATGATGAACAAGGCTTGATCCTTAGAGCGATCGCCAAATATACCTCTGAGTTCCGCGGAAGCTACAAGGTATGTTGAATTAAGCTTCTTGGAAAAATGGCATTGACATTAACGGTATGCAAGCCAATCATACCTAAGCCACAAGGTGGTGGAAGATGTGCGATAAAGTTGGTGAATATAGCGGTACAAATCCAAAGTCGATATCAGCGGTTGTGCCATCCGTGCGAAAGAGGGCCATGCTTAAGGCTGTTGCTGGCAAAGGACGGCGCCGATCTGAATGGGCATCCTAAATGTACATTAATTTGCTGTCCAAATTCGTGCGGCTTAAGGCCGCTGGAGTCAACTTCTCTCCAGCCTAATCGGTCAACTTGCTCGCACTGTCATGAACAATGCGCCATTATACACTTTCAACTTTATTGATCCATTCGACGATAAACCTATCGTCAACAGAATCAAGACACGATTGGTTCAGCAGTTCATGGTATATAGAATATTTACACTTGTACATAGATAACTTTACTGATTAAATTTGAATGCTTCAACAGGAGGTGCATGGCATGGTCCATCGGGCACAGACCGGGAAGCTTATGGGTAGCGCCGCGAAGCAGGACCATATCGAGACAACGGTTGCGTACCATATGGGCGAGTTACGCCGTGGTTTCGAGTCAAGAGACCTGAACGAGAAACAGCTTTGTAATATGGGTGAAACTCATTTCGTGATCAACTGCGATAACGGTCGTACACTTGGTTTTCGTGGTGATACAGATGTTAAATACGCCGATGTTGTGTCGGGTGATCTCGGGATGACCATGATGGTCCACATCACGGGCGATTCGCGTGCGCGAATTCTTCACCCATGATGATCTTCCAGAATCCAAACCGATCATACTCTATAAATGGTCTATCAGACGATGTATTTGATGCTTCATACCGATCTGATTTTAAAGGCTGGAATGATAAAAAGGTTGGTGTCTCATGTATCATAAATTATCTATAGTACTCCATATCTATAATAATTTACACTACTATTGCAAGTATTTCCGTAATGCTTTGGCGAGCCAATCGCATTATAGGGGGATAGTGTTGGACGAAGAACTGTGACATATGTGGACAACTGTGTCGGCCACAACAAAAGTCAAGAATTACGTAGTATTATCTTGAAGACCAACAATGAATTACGCTATTTTCCACCCTGCGCGACCGATCTTGTTCAGACTGCTGACTCTTACCTTATTTTAAAAATTAAGGACAAAAGGACCCGATTGTGGGAGGTCGAGAAGATGTGCATGATACAAAAAGGCGACTGGTCAGACACCGTGCGTAAAACGGCTCTTGGTCGGGAAAGGTGAAAAACCCGGGCAAACGCTTCTTCATGGACATCTCCGCCACATCTGTAAGCGTGATGAACGGTATGCGCGACAGTTTCGGCTTGACATACGCTCGTTAGTCTATGCTTCGTTGTGGCATGGCACTTGTTGTCAGTGGTCGATGGCACGAATCGCAATTGACGCCGGAACTTCAACAAAATATTTGCAAATATCACATCCACTACAATGGCACTCCCGTTCCAAATTATTGGTAATGTCGTTGTATGTGGTACTGATGACCACATGGCAAGGACGACACTGCATGATTGTGTGCATCGATGGGATCGACTCATCGTTTTGTTACTGATATTGTAGAGTCGATATTGATAGGCTTAGAGTAGTACAACGAGACGATCTAAGGACCTAGCTAGATATCATATTCACTTTCTACCTTCTACTAAGCGTTTCAACTTTATATGGCCCTTGGCTGTTGCCATAAGTTATAAAAAGTGTGCGTTAAGTATGTAGCCAAATACATTATTACATACTGCGCTTTCTTGGTTTTATAAATCCGCACTAATTTTGAATGCGGAAAATTAGTGCGGTCCATACTAAATCTGCAAACCCATAATTAGTGCGGTTTCATTAATAGTGTGATCCGCACTGATACCTGTGAGCGACTTAAATATAGGTGGTTGATAAATAGTATGGTCCACACTCATTACGGTCATCGGTGTTCTGACCCTCAGTCGCGCGAGTATGTCAAAGCGCGGTCCTCTTAGTTTACCTACTGTACCCAGCGTCTCATCGAGCGTCGAAACCAGTCGCTGCACCTCTGTGACAAAAAATCGTTGAAATTTTTACACTATCTTCTTCATCGGAGCTGCACGAAAGTCTTCTCGGGACCAAAACCTCTACTTACTTTGGTGCTCAAGATGGTGGTCGCAAGCGCGACGATAGTTGACGTTTAGAATCCGAATCATTGCAGGATTGAAAAGTTGCAGCTTCTAACTGTTTTATTGTCGATAGAATAAGATAGATAGTGTCCTTGACTCAGAGTGCTATAACGGACCCTCTGCCACGTAGGCACTGCATTTGTCGAGAATGAAAAGGAACATTGGCTCATTCTTTCGAGAGCAAATGCTTTAGGTCCTTCGAGTAAAAAAGTCTGTATCATACAAGTCGTTGCGCTACTGCAGAAAGAGTACCCAATATTATTGTAATTGGTTCTCTATTGTGCCGTGGATATAACAGGATTACATGTCGATTGGTAACCGACGCGACATGTGTGGTTTACACCAGGGATGAGACCCCATTAAAAATGATTTTCGAATACCGTATTAGTTGTTTGGGGCTTACGTGTGTCAGCCACCAAAATGTGAGATCTTGCAAGAGGTATTGATTAGAACATTAGTGTCTAGATTAAGTACCTTTAGTCTGAAGTGTTTTATTCGATAACAGCAACTAAAGTTCAGTTCCCATTTTGATCTAGTAAAGACACGTGACTTCTTAAGACATCTTTGGTCATATGAGAGTCAAATCTTGTTAATGCATAGACTCGTACGCACGCACACTCTGCAGTCGAATCACTGATTTTTAGGCCTCTAGAACAAGGAACTGGAGCTGTAAGATTGTTGACTCGTAGAGTCGAGTTCTTGTGAAAAAACTGCTTTTCTCACTGCGCAGAAAGCTTTCCTATGGCTAGGAGGTATGATAGCTTCGCTACACCTAATAGCACTTGTAGTCAATCTGCGTCTAACTTTATAAATACTGATCCTATATGAGGATGGAACAATCCACTCCTACTTCTGAGCCCCAAAATGTCGCGCTTGATAAGCTGACCACGGATTTGGGCCCAGAGTATGTACAATTCCTTGTGTCGGAATGCCCGGACGTGTTGAACGCACGTCTATAGGACTTTATGACATATGAAACGAATTTCGTAAGGCAGGTCCAAGACCTAATGTCTTCGGCTGTGCCCACACCCTTTGTGTCTATGCCAGACGATGGAGCTAATCCTCAGCCATTGAATGTGACATAAAGCCTTACTTCAGGAAAGAAGAAGATGATGATCTCATCCTCGGGATCCGCGAGGTAGAGACATTCCATAAATCGGGCACGATACGAACATGTATCAGAGGGTTGCGGTGAAGATAAACAAGCTCGCTGGTAGAGCGAGGGAGTGGGTACTTACGTGCATCGCGTCCATCGATGACGCCTTACCCACATATGAAAGGTTTAGGCCTCATAATATTCTCACTTTTGTGTCAGTAGGAATATCGCGTGCGATCACGCTTCCTCTCTACCCTTCAGGATAAGGATGAGTTGTCGGACTGTTTCCAAGAGTTGAGAATACTCATTGCTGCTATGCAGAGCTACCCTCGTCCAGAGGTAGTCCAGATGAAGATATTTATGGAAGGACTTCGTCCTAGTCCCACCAGAACTAAAGTCTTCCGTGATCACTCCACTACCTTAAGAGGGGCGTTCATAATAGCGCATAACGCGGATTACAACTTTAATCTTGCTAAGCTTGGCTGGAATGGGCACAACTCGAGATCTACCAGTGCGAGATCCATGAGCA